TAATTAGTATATATTGTTCTAACACAAAAGAGCTACAAAACATACAAAATAAAGAAAATACCGTAAATCAAAAAAGGTTTACTGTTATATAGTTTGGTTTAAAACCTACAAAATCTTCATTGCTTTCACCGTCGCTTGGAAAGGAATCATTGGATCCAATATTATGGTCAAAGAGAATGTCACCCTCGGTCCCATCCATTGCGTTACTGATACCACATTTCTTAAATGTCTTAATCACTATATCACTTCTTACTTTTCCTACGAATTCTACACCCACATGCAGACCTAGGCCTTTGCGTTTCATGAACCGATAACACCACGATGTTAAACCAGTAAAATCTTCTAAACTATTATCACACGCAATCCTCTTTGCTTTAAAAATTATCATATTTGTAAAAACGGATATTCCTTGCCTTCTCTGATCCATAACCCATTCGTATAGTTTATTTTCAAGATCTTGCCATTTTGTTTTTTTCCCTCGGAAATTGCGTTTATCACTTTTAATCATTTTCAGTTCTTGTTCGCGCCAGCAACGAATCATTTATTCTGTTGGTGGAGGACCAAAATATTTTTCGGCAGTTCTGTTTCCATGCTCTTTTGCATAATTAATCACACTTAATTTAAATTTAGCTGTGTATGACAGTCTCTTTTCTTTAGACATCGTAAGAGTTGAAAAAATAGAACGAAAAGTGAAGAAACAACAACTTCGGCTTTCGGTGACGCATCCAACTTGACAGTAAGCACGTGCCAGACTGCCGAGTATCAAATGAAAATTGAAACACCAATTAGGCGATTACCGACATTTGAATCCAAGGCAAGTACTCAAAAACGATTTTTTATTTGTTGAAGTTAGGCCTGAAGCGGCCTTATTCGGCTTCACATTAAACAGGGATCGTCGTGTATTTACAAGCTTTTTCACTCTCATCCATTACTATAATTTATTTTTTATTATTTAGGGAACATTATAAATAGTTATGTTTTTTTAAAACTACTACTGTTATAAATAACACATTCAATTGAACTAAACTATGCATGCCTATTTAAATATATTTATACATGGCTTGTGTACACAGCGTGATGACAAGTAAATAGACACCACCTTTTCAGAAAAAAATAAATTTTTCAGTCATATTCACATTAATTGATATATTTATAATTTAATTAATAACTAGTAGATCTTCCTTTCGCTTTGTGGAGTTCGTTAATCCTTTGGGGCATCGTGAAAATCATCTCGTCAATTTT